TTAATTTCCATGAATTTGCGTGGTTTTGAAGATTCCTGTGGGAGTTGATTTCTAATTTTATTCCACTGTGGTCTGAGAGAGTGCTTGACATAATTTCAATTTTCTTAAATTTGTTGAGGATCATTTTATGGCCTATCTTATGATCTATCTTGGAGAAAGTTCCATGCACTGTTGAGTAGAATGTGTGTTCTGCAGTTGTTGGATAAAATGTTTTGCACGTATCTGTTAAGTCCATTTGTTCCTGGGTATAGTTTAAATCCATTGTTTCTTTGTTGACTTTATGTCTTGATGACCTGTCTAGTGCTGTCAGTGGAGTATCAAAGTTTGCCACTATTATGGTGTTGCTGTCTATCTCGTTTCTTAGGTCTGTTAGTAATTGTTTTATAAATTTGGGTGTTCCAGTGTTAGATGAATACATGTTTAGGATTGTGATGTTTTTCTGTTGGACCAGGCCATTTACCATTACATAATGTCCCTCTTTGTCTCTTTTAATCACTGTTACTTTAAAGTTTGTTTTGTCTGGTATAAGAGTAGATACCCCTGCTTGCTTTTGGTATCCATTTGCATGAAATGCCTTTTTCCACCCCTTTAAGTTTATTTGGGTCCTTATGTGTTATGTTAGCTGAGTCTCGTGAAGAAAGCAGATAGTTGATTGGTGAGTTCTTATTCATTCTGCAGTTCTGTGTCTTTCAAGTGGAGCATTTAGCCCATTTGCATTCAATATTAATATTGAAATGTGCGGTAGCATTGCATTCATCATGCTCTTTATTGCCTGCATAGTTTGGTGTTTTGTGGGGTTTTTTAATTTTAATTTTTATTATTATTTTTTTAATTTTTATTTTTCTTGAGACAGAGTCTTGCTCTGTCTTCAAGACTGCAGTGCAAGATTATGTTCTTTGTCTACCACCACCAGGTTGAGTAGGGAAGAATAATTGGGTGCGAGAGGTGCTAGATGTGTCTAGTTCAGACTCTTGTTGGACGGGTCTTGCTGCGGCTGCTGTGAGGGGTGCAGGTGAGATTCCAAGGTCACTAAAGTTTTGTACCTAGGAGGATTATGGATGTCTCTGCTCAGTCATACAGGATGTCAGGGTAGTGGGGAAAGCTGGCACTCACAAGCCCGACTTAGCTCCCATGCAAACCAAAGAGTGGGTCTCAATTTCACTTTGCCCCCACAACAGCCCCGAGTCTGTTTCCAGGTGGAGGGCAAGTTGGGCTTGAAAATTGCGTAAGGCTTCCTGCCTCACAGCTGGGAAAGAACAGTGCTTTAGTTTTTCCCAGCCTGTGAAGTCTGCAAGCCAGATTCTTGCCTCCCCCTGAGTTCTGGCCAGGAGACTTCTTGCCTTGTTCAAATTCTTGCAAAGTTCAGCTAGGGAAGTCTTTCTCCCTTTGGTGTTTTACCCCCTGCTCCTCTGTTTTCCCTCCTGATGGATTCCTGTGGTGCCAGGCAGGAATGGGCTGCTTGGGGATTCAGCAAGCTCCTAGGGCCTCCCTGCTGCCTCCTGCACCCTGTATGGGGGTGTGTGTTCAGAAGAGGAGGGTCTGCCGTTCCCACTTCTGCAGTTGGGGCACTAACAGTATTTGGGGTGTCTCCCGGGTCCTGTAGGAGCAGTCTACCTCCTTCAGAGGGTCTGTTCCTAATGCCTTTAAAGGTACATTCTCAAGCTGAAGGTGGTGATTTGTTCAGGTAATCTCACCTGAGAAAGAATTACAGAAGAGAGAAAACATGGTTGATTCTTAGATAAGTGTCCCAGGTCAAAACTGTGTTCACAGTTTCTTCTAGAATTTCATGTATTTAGAATTGCAATCATTTACATTTCTACCTCTGATGCTTTTGCCTAACAAGATTGTTTCAACTACCTTTTCCCTTTTCTTCTCATGACAGTGAAAGGATCTCTTTAAAATAATTCTTCCCAATTTATCAGAGCCTTTATTCTCTCCATCCAGCCTTCTTATATATCACAAATAATACTCATCTTGAATTTATACCCTGAAATATTGAAAACATTTTCTTTTCTTTCTTTTTTTTTTCTTTTTTTGAGGTGGAGTTTTGCTCTGTCACCCGTACTGGAGTGCAATGGCGCGATCTTGGCTCACTGCAACCTCCACCTCTCGGATTCAAGCGATTCTCCTGCCTCAGCCTCCCGAGTAGCTGGGATTACAGGCGTGTACCATCATGCCCAGCTAATTTTTGTGTTTTTGTAGAGATGGGGTTTCGCCATGTTGGCCAGGCTGGTCTTAAAACTCTTGACCTCAGGGGATCCATCCACATCAGCCTCCCAAAGGACTGGGATTACAGGCTTGAGCCACTGCCCGGCATGAAAGTATTTTCTTTGTTGACAGATCAGCTTGGGCAGGTGGGGATTGCAAGGCTCTTGTATTGGTTCGAACCTTGAGAGCACGCCAACAGACAAGATGAGGCTATGTGGAGAACAGACTGTTTTAATGAGGACCTGGGTGCAGGCGGGCTGAGACCTAAAATGGCCTCAGCCCCAAGTAAAGACAGGGCAGGGGTTTTATAGTCCTCTGTAAACAGGAAGTGTCCCAGTCTGACACGACTGCTACATAGTACCAGACAACCTCCCTCTCGATCTTAAGGGGGAATGTGTCTCCTGGCCAGATCTCTTCCTGCTTCTACTCTCTTGCTGATGCATGCTGCTGGCACAAGTGGCCTTGCACCTTGGAACTGGGCCTGAGGAGGGAGAAGTTATTCATTCCCTTAAGCTTTCAGACCCCAGGGAGAATCTTTCATTCTTGTCTATTTGGTCATAGAAAAAAGGGACAACTTTCTCAGTAACTACTTCAGGCATGACATAGGAGTGGAGTGGGTACCTTCAAAAAATAAAAACTTAATTTTGGGGGTATTTTTGAGAGACAGGTTGATACCCATTGTGTCGTTGTAGCAGGAGCATTGTCTGGATTGTCTGGTGGCTAACTAGTTTCAACAGGAGTTTTAGTGGTTTTATCATTAGTGGGATTACACGGGAGAGCAACAGGAGGAACGCGGTGATGAAGATTACTGGTCCTACCAGCGTTTTAAATTCTCCTAAATTAGAGAACCACCTTCCTAAAAGGTTTGTTGGGCCCCACCCCTTCTAGGTTCGGACTGGTACATGGGTACTTTTCTGATTTTTGAAGTGATTCCCAGTACTGCTTTTCTGTTATCATCTATGTTAAGACAACAATTAGCGATATTAAACTTACTACAGACTCCACCTTCTTCTGCTAATAAGTAGTCTAGTGCTAGCCTGTTTTGATAAATAGCCGCATGCATTTGGTTTTGTTGTTCTGTGAACATTTCCAGAGCTGAGGCGGTTTGGTTAGTGATTATCTCTAAAACTGCCTGTAGTCTTAATTATTCTAGTTAACATATATATGGGAGTGCAATAACCCCATGAACTATCCTCAGCTCAAGTGGCAGGACTGTAATATTTGATGATCCATTGTGGAGGCCATTCATCCTGTTGCCATCTTTGGCTTCCTCCTGCCTTTAAGGATCGTGGTTGTTTTTTATTTGTTTGTTTTAAATTATTATTACATGCAGGGACTCCAAGAGTGTTTCCCACTGTTAGTGTTTTGGAGGAGGGAGTAGCCTTGGGGATGAGCTTGACCCTGGTGCAATGAATCCAGCTGGGGAGTCCTTGGACTCTCACTGCGGTCAACGTGCTGAGTATCACAGTGCAGGGGCCTGCCAACTTCAGTTGTAGGTTTTTGTGAGGGTTGGGTTGGCAGATAAACACATCTGTGCCTGCAAGACAGTTATGTTGAAAGGACAAGGAGGTGTTGACAGGGAGGGGCATGGCCTCATTTGCTGCTTCATGAAAGAAAGACTGTGTCTGGATTAAGGAGGGGAGGTAATTCCCTAGTGGCTCAGAATCTGGGAAGGGTGGAGGCCTCAAGACAAAATTTGGCTATCAGGAGAACCAGCCCCCAATATTTCAACATAGGTTCTTTTCTATTTTCCTTAAGTGTCGGCCGGTCTGAGAAATAAAGAGAAAGAGTACAAAGAGAGAAATTTTACAGCTGGGCCTCCGGGGATGCCATCACATATTGGTAGGACCATCATGGCAACCCCGAGCCACAAAACCAACAAGTTTTTATTAGGGATTTCAAAAGGCGGGGGGGTACGAATAGGGAGTGGGTCACAGAGATCACATGCTTCAAAGGGCAGTAAAAGATCACAAAGGCAAAAGGGGAGAGCAGGATCACAAGGCAAGGGCAAAATTGGAATTACTGATGAGGGTCCATGTCCCATTGGGCATGCATTGTCTTGATAAACATTTTAACAGGAAACAGAGTTCACAAGCAGATAACCAGTCTGACTAGAATTCACCAGGCTGGAATTTCCCAATCCAAGCAAGTCTGAGGGCACTGCAGGAGACCAGGGCATATTTCTTCCCTTCTCTCGACCACATAAGACAGACACTCCCAGAGCGGTCGTCTATAGGCCTACCCCTGGGAATACATTCCTTCCCCAGGGTTATCAATTATTAATATTCCTTGCTGGGAAAAGAAATCAGTGATATTTCCCCTATTCACATGTCCTTCCATTGGCTCTCTGTGAGAAGAAAACTATGACTGTATTCTGCCCAACCCCCCAGGCAGTCAGACCTTATGGTTATCTTTCCTTGTTCCCTGAAAATTGCCGTTATTCTGTTCTTTCTCAGGGTGCCCTGATTTCATATTGTTCAACCACCCATGTTTTACAATCAGATCTCATTTGTAAAACGCACGTTTTACAAACAATTGTACAGTTAATGCAATCATCACAGGGTCTTGAGGCAACATACATCCTCAGCTTATGAAGATGATAGGATTAAGAGATTAAAGACAGGCATAGGAAATTAGAGTATTGATTGGGGAAGTGATAAATGTTCATGAAATCTTCACAATTTATATTCAGAGATTGCAATAAAGACAGGCATAAAAAATTATAAAAGTATTAATTTTGGGAACTAGTAATTGTCCATGAAATCTTCACAATTTATGTTCTTCTGCCACAGCTTCAGCCAGTCCCTGACTTCCTGCAACATTCAGCCAAACATAATTTCAAAGGGACTATAAAGACTGTGCCTTTGGTGTTGTGCAGAATCTCATGAGGGCAAAAGGGAGATTTTTTTGTCCACCACTGGAGGGTTTCTAGAGCCAGCTTGGTGAGTTGGGCTTTAACAACAGAGATAATTTTTTTCAACTTTGCCTGAAGATTGAGAACTGTAGGGTGTGTGGAGAACTCATTTTATAAGTAAGGATATAGAGACACCTTGGGTACTTTGTCTGAGGAAGGCAGGCCCATTATCAGACTGGATGAATGTTGGTAGTCCAAAATGGAGAATTATGTGCATGTTGAGAGTTTGTGTGATGACATTTGCATCTTCTGAAGTTGTTGGGAAAGCTACTCACCTGGAGAAAGTACAGACAAAGGCTAGAAGATTGCAGAGCTGTTTATCGGGCAGCATGTGAGTAAAGTCTACTTGTCAGTCTTGCCTGGGTACCTGGCCCTGGGCTTAGTGAGTGGGAAAAGGTGGTGGCCACAGGCAGCTGTGGGGTGATACTGATTGGCAGATAGAGCAGGACTGGGTAGTCTCTCAAACATGGCTGGAAAGGTGAAGACAAGTAAGGATAGGGTGGAGAAGTTGCAGGAGAGGTTTGTAATTGACATGGAAAGAGTTGTGGAGGCTTTGGAGGATAGAGATTGTGAAGAAGAATGAAGCGCCTTTCCTTGACATACAATGTTCCTTGGTTTTGAAGGTTTGGGGCTTGGTAGTCCCCCTTTTCTTCTGGGGAGTAAAGAGGAGAGAACGAAGACAGGCACAGAAAGTGGCCTTGCACAGGTTGTAGGGCTACTTGTTTGGCTTCTCTATCTGCTAGATTTCTGGCTGATATAGGATTGTCTGGCATTTAGTGGCCCCTGCAATAAATGATGGCAGCTTTCTACAGGAGTCTAGTGGCTTGAAGGAGCTTGCTGATGAGAGTCATTTATGACAGGAGTGTTTTTTGTCGTTGTTGTTGTTGTTGTTTGTTTGTTTGTTTTTTGCAGTTAGGAAACCCTGTTCTTTCCAGATGGATGAATGTGAGTGCACTATGTGGAAAGCATAATGAAAATTTGAATATATGTTGATCTGTTGTCTGACTGCTAGAGTGAGAGCTCGAATGAGGGTGATGAGTTCAGCTTTTTGGGAGGTGGTACCTAGGAAGAGTGGATTAGTTTGAATAGTGTGTGTGTGGGGGGGTGACAATATAGCATAGCCAGCATGCCGGCATCCTTGATGTAGGAAGGAGCTGCCATCTACAAACCAAGTAAAGAAGGCATCTGGAAGGGGTTGCTCTGTTAGGTTTGGAAAAGCTATAAGAAAGGTTTGAACATGTTGACACAGAAGTGTATAGGATCTTGGACAGTGGTAGCTTCAGATAAGAGCATGGCCAAGTTTAGACGGGAGCTGGTTAGCATGGTGATGTGTGGAGTTTCTATGAATAGAGCATACAGTTAGAGGAGCCATGGGGGAGAGATGAAACCTAGTACACTGTGGTGAGCTAGCATGTCTTTGACATTATGGGTTGAATAAACTGTTAAGTTGGCTTGGAGAGATAGTTTTAGGCTTTCAAGGGTGAGGACAGCAGCTGCTGCCAATGTTCAGAGGCAGGCAGGCCATCCTAGAACTGTGGCTTCAAACCATTTAGAGAGGTAGGCAACAACCTGGAGGGTGGGTCTCTTAGACTAGGTTAGAACACCTACTGCAACTCCACACCATTCATCGGTATATAGAGAGAAAGGTTTAGTGGTTCCTTCTGGGCTAGCTGGGTCTAGGTTGGTATACTTTTTCGTGGTGTCAGTTAAACGAGAGAAAAAGGGCTGGGTTTTCGTTATGACCTTGGGTGATTTCTGAAAGTTTTTCATAGTTTACCACTTTATGGGCACCCTTTTTGAGTCCTGCAAGGAGACACACAATCATGTTGTCTCGATGGTGGCATCCAGGGACCACGTCTTGATAATCCCAGTGGGGGTCCTCGTTGGGAACCGCCTCTGCACCAGTAGGCTGTGCAGGAGCCTGGTTATGAATTGTATTGGCATGCACCTGAGCTAGGGTCCATATACGGTCCTGGTCTTCTGCGGAGAGGGTGGCAGAGAGGATAATGTAGAGGTCATGCCAAGTTAGTTCATAACACTGGGTGAGATACTGAAGCTCTCCAATATAAGAGGTAGGGTCTTTTGAAAATGAACTGAGTCTTTTTGTTAATTTGAGAGAGATCAGTGAGGGAGAAGGGAACATGAACTCTAACAGTATGTTCAGTTTCTGCTACTTCCTGAAGGGGGCACTGTAGCACCAGCACTGAAGTAAGGATGGGGCATGGGCCAAAGATGGTGCCTGAGCAAGTATGGATGGGAGAGAAGGAGGAACATGGAAGTGGTTCCTGCTGAGGGTTTGAATGGGGAAGGGGGGTTGAGTTAACAGGCAGGGGAGGATAGGTAGGAGTATAAGGTGGTGGGATGGGTTTACAAGCCTCAGGAGAGGGTGGTGGGGGAGGTTAATGGGTACAGGCAATACTGGAATTGTCATGAGGAGGGGACGATGTAGGAAAAGAAGTGGATACTGCTGACTAGGAATATGGTGGCTGGGAATATGGCCACTGAGAAGATGGGGACTGAGAAGATCGTGGCTGAGAAGATAAAGAAGAGGCTTGGAGGTGAAAGAAGATGGTTGAGAGGGAGAGGTAGGGGCTGAGACGGGTGGATGGCAGTCTGCTGGATCCAAAGAAGAGGTAGGGTCGGGAGGAGGAAGGCGATCAGGGCGGCGAGAATAGAGGAGGAGGATTTGAACAGGTGAGCAAGAACTGCAGAGATTGGGTTGTGATCTGAGTGCAAAAAACGCCTGGATATAAGGAATTTCTCCTCATTTTTCCAGCCATCAGCAATAATTGATTAAGTCAGTTAAAATTGTAAAGTCCAGTGTTCCATTTGCGGGCCATTTGGACCCATTATCCAATTCGTATTGTGTCCAGATTGAATTGCAAAACAAGACAAGGCACGGATATCTTGCCTGAGGCCTAAGGTTTGTAGGTTTTTTATGAGGCAGCCTTCAAGGCTGTACTTTGGAATGGAAAACTTGGAATTTCACGTAACAGGGTTAGGCTAGAGAGAACAGGGAAAAGGGTACTGTCCTGGGCAGCTGGAGGGAGACGATAAAAGGAGCGATTGTCACTACTACCTTTTTTGTTCCCAGGACGGGATGGAATGGCTTAGAGGCATCCCCCTAAGACCAGATGATCAGCAAATGCCTGGCACATGCCAGAGCCTTCTTGGACCAACGTTGGATTTTTGGACCGGAGAAACCAAGAGAGGCTGTGTTGATTTTTCCCTGTTAACTGGGCTCGCGGGACACTTACTGGTAGGTGAGATCAGTGACCAAGGGGCATGCCCAGAGAGGCGACTGGAGGCTGAGGAGCTTCGTTTGTCCAGCTGCCATACCCAGATGGCCTCCCTCTCCATCTTCGGGGGTATGTGTCTTCCCGCCAATTCTTCCTGCTTCTGCTGTCTTGCTGACTCAATCTGCTGGTGCAGGTGGCTTTGTGCCTTGGGATTAAGCCTGTGGAAGGTGGAGTTATTCATTCCCTTAAGCTTTCGAGAGAATCTTTCAGGGATATAAAACATTCTTATTAGGGTTGCTGCTGGGTCCTCAGATATCAGTGAGGGAGAAAAGTGCACCAGTTAGGTTCCATCTGAATGCTTCATCAGCTCTCTGAAGAACATAACTTTAAAATTCCAACTGGAAAAGAATGGAATTAATAGCCTGGAATAATTTAGAAAGATATGTATGTAAAGGAATTAATTCAAAGAAATGTGCCTTCTAGAATGCTGAAGAGATATTAAATAGACTACTAGAAATTACAAAACATGGGCATCATATGTGGCTTGAACTTTGCATCAAACATGTTTTTCAAGATTAGATTCAGATTATAATTTATGTTTTTTGTCGGGCGTGGTGACTCACGTCTGTAATCCCAGCACTTTGGGAGGCCCAGGCGGGTGGATCACGAGGTCAGGAGATTGAGACCATCCTGGCCAATATGGTGAAACCTCATCTCTACTAAAAATACAAAAAATTAGTCAGGCATGTTGGCGGGCATCAGTAGTCCCAGCTACTCAGGAGGCTGAGGTAGAAGAATGATGTGAACCTGGGAGGCAGAGCTTGCAGTGAGCCAGGATCACGCCACTGCACTCCAGCCTGGGTGACAGAGTGAGAGACTCCATCTTAAAATAAATAAATAAATAAATAAATAAAATAATAATTTATGGTTTTTGGCCAGTAATCTCACAGAAGTCCTGTTGCATCCTCCTATATGTATCAGCACCCGATGCCAATCTGTCCAATTCATTTTATTCACTTGGTTAACGTGTTTTCTGAAGGAATTTGTCACTTTAAGATTACTTTCTAAAAACTGTATTATTAACAGGTATTTTGGAGAGATTTTCTGACTAATGTACATAAACAATCACATTTAATCTGAAAGCTCTCCAGTCATGCCAAGTGTCAGGTTGCAGCCCAAGCTGAGGTCTGACATAAGTCAGTGGGCGAGCGGTGGGTTGCTGGAAAAACACTCAAGGAATTGTAGGCAGTTTTGATATGGCTTTATTATCTCTCTGGGCAGAAGCCTGGACATGAGCCATATGTACAGGATCAGCAGTTTTACTCTCTCTCTTCCCCTCCTATCCACCTGTCTGTGTACTCCTTACACAGAGTAGCGGCTCAGAGCCAAGTATGAGCTTATGTAACTAGGTTACATAATGAGAATTGTGCACCTGCACTCAAACTCACTGAGTCATACTGAGCCAGATGTTTACCTCAGCTTATTCTTGACCACAGCACATCCATTTTTCTTACATCCCTTTTCTTAATAGTTTCTCTTGTCTATATCTTGCTTTGGAAAATGAAGGCTGTCATCTTCGTTCACTGCTCATATACATGGGGATAAAACCCAGGTTCTATCACTAGATGTTTTACAAAGTATTTTCCTTAAGTTAGAATCATTTATGTCATTTGTGAGTTTGTTAGCAAATCAGTAACTGAGATCTCGTCCCAGACCTCTTGAATTAGAATCCATATTTTAACAAAATCTGCAGTTCATTGATGTATGCATTAAAATTTGAGAGGTACCTTCTAACTTACTGTGACTTCTCCATATGAGAACTAGACAGAACTTACTGTGTATAATGTAAATATGGCACTCAAAACTGTATATGCTTGTGTTTATGCCATAAATTTTATGCTGTATTATTTAGAAAACTATAGTACCTACATTGGTTTGTGGATCTTTTTTCATTTTATTTCCTCAGAATACAAAACTACATTAGAGAATCTTTCTCTATTTAACAATATTTTATGGGATAATTCCAGTCTCTCATGTAAAACAGAGGCAGCTCTCGTAACTCTCAAACACCTAGAGTAAAATTAACAGTACTACCCATGGCCATTTGCTAAATATGTGTGGGTGTTTTGGTTTTCTTAGGAAATGTTAACATTCAAGGCTTTGGCCATAGAATTCTCTCAGGAGGAGTGGGTATGTCTGAATCCTGCTCATTGAAATTTGTATAGAGATGCAAAGTTAGAGAACTACAGAAACCTGGTCTCTTGGTGAGAATAAATATCCCCCAGATTTTCTAATATACCATAAGGCTTCTATTTTCTCCTTCTGTGGAATGATTTTGGGAGGTTTTGCTCTGCATACATTATTTTTAGATTAATACTTTTAAGAAAAACTTGAAGGTTTATTGGAATAGATAAGAAAATTTTCAAGATGTTTTACATTAACAGGAACCTTCCCCTTTCTTGAGCTAATATGTATCCTTCACTCTAGATTAATGATAATTCTAGAAATTCAGTGGCATTAAACATTGTTGTACAAATGTTAAAATCCAATATCCAGCACTAATTTTAAATTCAATAGTATTGGATAGTACAGCTAAGGACCCAGAAATGTCACATATGTTTTAAATATTCAAAAGTTTCTGTCAGAAAACAGTATTTTGGAATTAAATTTCTAGAATCTTTCATTATATTCTCTCCTCTCTACTGAAGATAGTACTAGGTTGGTAACTGGAGAATCCCAGAAAGTCATGCTAATTTTTCTAACAAAACAGACCTTGTTGTCTGTAACTCTGATCTGATCTACTGCTTTGAGCAAATAAAAGCCCTGGAATGTGAAGAGACATGAGACAGTAGTCAAATACTCAGGTAGGTAAGCATGAATGAAGCAGATAACAGAGATGAGGGGTACAACGGTCAAAAAGAATTCCAGACCTTAAAATGTGGTATAGAATGCTTTGCTTCAATAGAAAGGTTTCCTAAAAAGCCATTTTTATTTCTCTAGCTCTCAAATAGGAGCATCTTTTGTCCCATACCCTTAAATTCTCTAAGGACTCTACTTCCTATTTAGTGATTTTCCTTAGAGGGTACTGTGACAGCTAAAGTCCTCTTTATGGCTTATAAGGTACTGTATGATATGCCTGCTCTTCCATTGTTTCGGGGGAATATAAGAATATTTCTGAGTATTTTTGAGGAACTGCATGTTAGATCATTTCTTAAGTGTTCTTTTCCCATCATGTCTGAAATGTGTGAGAGCAGTGGTGATATTAAGATTTGTTTCAGAAATCTCAGGAACATGAATGACAGATGTTACTTATTTCTCTATTTTTTCTTTTTGATATTAACAATCCTAACAGATTTGAAGTGATAACTCATCGTTTTCATTTGCAGTTTCCTGTTGGTAGGTGATATGGAGCACTTTTTTATATATCTGTTGGTCATTGTATATAAATCTATACAAATATTTTCAAATATACAAATATATACAAATAATCATTTCTAGTGATCTTTTGTATTACTGTTGTATCCATTGTAATGTCTGTTCTTTCATTTCTGATTTTGTTTATTTAGATTTCTATTCTGTTTGTGGTTAATCTATCTAACAATTTACCAATTTTGTCTTTTTGAAAAACCAACTCTTTATTCTGTTGATTATTTTTATTGTTTTTGGACTTAATGTCAGTTGGTTCTGTTCTGATTTTTATTTATTTCTTCTTCTAACTTGGAATTTGATTTGTTATTAATTTTCTGGTTATTTTTGGGAAATATTTTTGGCAAAATATTTTTTCAGTCTTTTGACTGTTTTTTAGTTGGATTATCATTGTTATCATACTTGCCTTTGCTTTGAATTTTCTATATATTTTGAATATTAAGCTTTTCTGGTATATACAGTTTGTTATTGTGAGCATGCTGCAATAAATGTGCAAGTATAGGTATCATTTTCATATAATAAACTATTTTTCTTTGGGTAGATACCTAGTGATGAGATTTCTGAATCAAATGATAGTTCTGACCAGGCATGGTGGCTCACACCTGTAATCCCAGCACTTTGGGAGGTGGAGGCAGGCAGATCACGAGGTCAGGAGTTCAACACCAGCCTGACCGATATGGTGAAACTACGTCTCTACTAAAAATACAAAAGTTAGCCAGGTGTGGTGGCTCTCACCTGCAGCCCCAACTCCTCAGGAGGCTGACACAGAAGAAGTACTTGAACCTGGGAGTCAGTGGTTGCAGTGAACTGAGATCATACCACTGCACTTCAGCCTGGGCAACTAAGACTCCGTCTCAGAAAATAAAACAAAAATGGTAGTTTTATTTTTAGTTGAGATTGAGCATTTTTTTTCATATGCGTGTTGGCTATTTGTATGTCTTTGTTGAAAAATGGTTAGTAATGTTATTTGCTCAATTTTCAATAGAATTCTTTGTTTATTATTATTGTAATATTTTTGAGTTGAGTTATTTGTAAATTCTGAATATTAGTTCCATGTTGGCACATAGTTTGCAAATATTTTCTTTTATTCTGTAGATTGCCTATTTATCCTGTTGATTTTTTTCTGCGCCAAAACTTTTAGTTTGATTTCCATTTGTCTATTTTATATAATAATAATATGATAAATAATATAATAGTTTTCTTTGTTGTGTCCTTGGCTAGTTTTGGTATCAGGGTGATACTGACCTCTGAGCGACTTAGGAAGAATTTTATTATCCTCAATTTTTGGTAATAGTTTCAGGAGGATTATTATTCTTTGTACACTTGGTAGAATTTTGCTGTGCATTTATCTAGTCCTGAGCTTTTCTTTGTCAAGACATTTTTTTATTGCCGACTCAATCATGCTACTCATTATTGGTTTGTTCAGGTACTCTATTTCTTCCTGACTCTATCTTGGGAGGTTGTTTCCATGAATTTATTCATTCTTTCTAGGTTTTCAGGTTTGTGAGTGTCTGTCTAGTTGTTTAAAATCGTTTCTAGTGATCTTTTATATTACTGTTGTATCCACTGTAATGTTTGTTCTTTCATTTCTGATTTTGTTTATTTAGATTTCTATTCTGTTTGTGGTTAATCTAGCTAGCAATTTACCAATTTTGTCTTTTTGAGAAACCAACTCTTTATTCTGTTGATCATTTTTATTGTTTTTGGACTTCATGTCATTTGGTTCTGTTCTGATTTTTGTTATTTCTTCTTCTAACTTAGAATTTGATTTGTTACTAATTTTCTAGTTACTTGAAGTGTGATGTCAGGTCCTTAATATGTAAGCTTTCTATTTTTTTGATGCAGGTCTTTAGGCTATGAACTTCCCTCTTAGTACTATATTTGATGTATCTCACAGGTTTTATTATATTGTGTTTCTATTTCCATCTTTTTTCCCACAAATTTTTAACTTTCATCTTAAAATTTTTTTTGTTTGTTTTGAGATGGGGTTTACTCTGTCACCCAGGCTGGAGTGTAGTGGCACAGTCTTGGCTCGCTGCAACTTCTGCCTTCCAGGCTGAAACGATCATTTTATATTAGCCTCCTGAGTAGCTAGGACAATAAGTGTACACCACCACACCTAGCTATTTTTTCATATTTCTTTTTTTTTGTAGAGATGGGGTTTTGCCATGTTGCTCAGGCGAGTCTCAAACTTCTTACCTCAGGTGGTCCACCTATCTCAGCCTCCCAG